CTAAGAGGTAGAAGTGAGAACAATGTGGTAGCACAGAGATAGAGAAGGAAGCACACCCCCCACATTTACTATCTACTGTTCTCAGTTCTGATTTGTTTGAGGGCTTGAGACTTGGCCATTTTTATATCTGTGAGTGTTTCACCTTTATAATAAATTTACTGTTTATTCAGCTAGTGTTGATGTTTCTGTGTATTGCAATCAAAAGGAACCTTGACTAAGACAGATACCTGTTACTTTGTAGTTTCTTCTCCAAAATGTGCATTTGTGGGTTTTATTGGGCTGAAACTATGGGGTTCATTACTATAATTCTCTCTTGCTCTTTACAGGGAATAACCATATCATTGTATGTCCACCCGATTTTGAGGCTCTAGCAGTAAATGGTCTGGGTCACTTATGTGCAATTTTCAGGGGACTGTGTGCCCATGAAACGAAACTTGACCTGGTGGTCAGGAATGAGGCAGAGATTATGGACACCACTGCTAACCCAGCAATCAGATTCCTCTGATGTCCTCCAATGAACATGTTGGCAAAACTGGGACTTCTCTATTTGCAGCTTCCTGACAGATGATAAAAAATATTTAATTGAAGAACTGAAATTCATCTCAACCTCCCTAAAACAATCTATTTTGGTATAATTTATGACAATTCCTGGGCATTTAAAGTTCTCAGTTCTCCTTTTATTGACCACTGCTCAGCTCTGACCCACAGTTATAGCTGACCTGTTCTCCTCTCCCTCTTGCCCTCATGTGTACTCATCACCGTGCAGCCTACACCATGCTAAATTCTGTCACTGTACAGGTACTTAAACCCTTCCCCCACCTCTCCACTAATCCCTGTACTTCCCTCAATTTAGCCCAAATTGCACCTTCTCCGTGAAGGCTTGCTCAGAGCCTCCGGTTGCAATCCTTTTGGTCTTGGAATTCCTATAGCCCAGAGGCTTTCAACCAAGGGCGATTTTGCCCCCAGGTAACGTTTGGTAACATCTGGAGATATTTTTGTTTGTCTCAATCAGGAAAGGGGAGAGCGCTACTGGCATTTAATTGGTAGAGGCCAAAGAGGCTTCTAAACATCCTACAGTGCACAAAGCAGGCCCCCCGACAAAGAATTATCTAGTCCACCAATGTCGATAATGTTGAGAAACCCTACAGTCAGGCCCAACTTTGGCGCCATGCACCCTATCGTTTTGATTACTCATTGTGGTGTAGAATCTTAGGGCTGGATGGGAACCTTTAGAAATCATCCTGTCGTCTGCCTGAATTTTCTGGGTAAGAAGCAGCTGTTGAAAGTCATAGAGTGAGTCAGTGGCACAGCTTTATCCTGATCCCTGGGCCTTTGACCATTTCCATTTCATGATGCAGTTGTTTCCTTTCTTCCTTTCTTAACCTGGCTTCTATAAGCCAGGTTAAGATCTATTATGACACATGTAGTGACTCTCTTCTCCAATCTCCTCCCCTCAGCCCAGTACTAGGAACACAGTACATACTTGTCAGATCAAAATAGCCTCAGATTTTATAAAATATCACTTGATATCCCTGCAAACGTATATTTTAGAGAACTGAAGGCTTCTTTCCTAGATGTAACCTCTCAAAAGGAAAGATGACTACATCTAAATCACAGAAAGAAGGAATTCTACAGAGACCTTCTGCAGAAGTATTTTCAACATTAGAGTAAATACCAGCCAACTGAGCCTTACACATTTAAATGATGGTGATGAAAATTACCACCTTACAGCACAGAGGAAAACAGGAAAGGTTTCTACTAAGGGGAAGGATTAACTGAATTTTATAGAGAAACTGGAAAAAACAAAACAAAATTCGACAAAAACCAGAAAGGACAGAAGATTGTATAAGTTTGTAAATTTGATTCCTAGAAGCTCTTCCCATATATAAATAACTAATTTTCCCTGAAAAAAGTGCATTTAATCAATTGTTGACACAGAGTTCAAAAAGTCCAGGTTAAGTAAGAAATGACAATAAGACTTTATATTGGAAAAGGAGGGCTAATTGGCTAGTATTCTGCATTTCAGAGGCAGAGCAGTATAAGCAGAAGTTCAAGTGTAGGCCTGGAGTGAGCTGATTCTGGATTTGAGTCCTGGCAGCACCCAGAGAAGCTGTGTGACTTTGGTGAATGCCTTATCCCACAAATCCTAGTCTTCTGGGCTTTGAAGTGAGGATCAGTAATAATACTTCCCAAAACATAAAATTGTGAGGATTTGATGAAGGAATACAGGAAAAGTACTTGCCCCAGGATCAAGCTAAATCTAAGAGCTGAGTAAAGGAGAACTAATGTTACAACTATTTCTACCTATGATCCTTTAATTTTATTTCTGAAAAAATGGGAAGATCGTTTAGTCCTGTGATGTTAAATTTTTATTTCCTCAGAAGAAATATGACATCCCCTTGCTAATATGAATGAGAACTTTGATCACACTGAAGTCTTCACATTTAAAATAAAACAATAAGCAATAGCTTTTAGATATGCATATGTGGGGCTTTTTTTAATCAGCTGAACAAATCTGTAGGGTTAAGTACCTAGAAAATAATTTAAGCTTCATTTATTTCCTTCCTTCCTTCCTCCCTCCCTCCCTCCCTTCATTCCGTCCTCCCTTCTTCCCTTTCTCCCTGCCTCCATTAACAAGATGTGCAAATGCATGTATATGAAGTTCTATGACACTGAAATATCTATAGAGAGTGTGTCAAGCAGCTAAGTGTTATGGAAAAATCTGAGAAGGGAAATTTTAGAGCCTCGGTTCCAACCCTGGCTCACACTAGCAATGAGATAGCAGGCAAGTCACTTAACTATCTCTCATCTGTAAAATAAATGGCTTGGTAGATGATTACTAAGGTTGCTTCTAGCTTTAATTACTGGATTGTACTCTTATTTCTGGAGAGCCACAGACATCTAATTCAAATAGGTTGTTAAAAATGGCCCTGTCTTTTTTTTTTTTTTTTTGCGGTACGCGGGCCTCTCACTGTTGTGGCCTCTCCTGTTGCGGAGCACAGGCTCTGGATGCGCAGTCTCAGCGGCCATGGCTCACGGGCCCAGCCACTTCCCGGACCGGGGCATGAACCTGTGTCCCCTGCATTGGCAGGTAGACTCTCAACCACTGCGCCACCAGCGAAGCCCAGCCCTGTCTTTTTAATAGTAAGTTCAATCTGTGAGAAAGAGTGAAACACTATTCATTTTTTTTTTTAACCTCTTTATTGGGGTATAATTACTTTACAATGGTGTGTTAGTTTCTGCTTTATAACAAAGTGAATCAGTTATACATATACAGATGTTCCCATATCTCTCCCCCCCTGCGTCTCCCTCCCTCCCCCCCTCCCTATCCCACCCCTCCAGGTGGTCACAAAGCACCGAGCTGATATCCCTGTGCTATGCGGCTGCTTCCCACTAGCTATCTACTTTACGTTTGGTAGCACTATTCATTTTTAAAATGATATTTTACATTTTGAATAGATATCTTGGTCCAATCATTTGGCTACATTCTAAGTTCCAAAACCAGGACTGGCTTTATAGGTGTGTGTTTAATTTCTAGGCCCAGAACTGTTTCATTTTTTTTTTTAGTTAGAAACTGACATGGCCCTCTTCCCCTTGCAGCCACTCTGTATTTGTGTTGGTATAAAACTGCTTCACCTGCCAGACTGAGGATGTGCAGACAACTGTGCAAAGGAAACACAGTGCCCTCCTTTGGCTTCAAAGGGCAGAGGCTCCATCCTTCGGCTCCAGCCATCTGTAGTGGCCTGAGCTTCTGGGAATTCCCACATCAGTGCAAATGTTTGTAAGAGTCTAGTGGACTGTGTAGAGAACTCAGCGAGGAGATGAAAGAGTACTCCTTTGAAAATCTGAGGCTGACAGGCCAAGGAAGAGCCTGGTTCTGTGAAAACCTCCAATGCCCACTCCCTCTTGCTGGTGTTCTTGAACATTTGTTCAAGGCCTGACCGCCTTATTTCAGAAGGAGTCTCTAAAGAGCAGTAAAGAGGGAACTATTCATAGAAAGATCCTGACTCCAATTGCTGCTCATCATGATGATTCAACTTCCAAAACCACTTCTGACCTCTTACTTAGTGTATGCTGTCATTGAGCTAGGCGGGGAGGGCACAGTGGTGAGCAAACACAATGAAGAGCTAATCCCAATTCATCACGGTGGCCTGGCCATTGGGGGTTTACTCCCTAGCCTGTGAAATAAGGATACTACTTAGCTCACAGAGCTGGCAGGACGATACAAGGAGATAATAAGTGACCAGGCACTTGAAGAGTGACTTCGTAGAAGTATTTGCAAGGTGCAATGTGGGCACAGCATTTTTTTTAAATAGGCAATTTGTTCCTGGAGGTATGTAAAGGTTTTTTCCCCCAGTAGGAGCAGCTTAAATGGAAGTGGAGATAGGAAGAAATTTAAATGATTTGGCTTTTCTCATTTCCAAACATTGGAACTTGACCTCCCGCGCAGCTCCCCTCCCCCGACCAGTCACCTAGGGGATTGCCAGCTGAACAGATAACGCCAACAGAGGAAGAAGATCGTGCCCATCCCAGTGCTGGCCATGTCCACCCGTCCACAGCTTCCTGACCTGCTTTTTTTCCTCTTCCCACACCCGCCTAGTCCCAGCGCCCTGGAGGACAAGCCCCGGCGACCCTGCCCCGACCCCGGGCTCCCGCACTATGTGGGCGGCTGCTGTACAGAGGGTCTGGGAAAGAGAAGAGCGAGCGGACAGGAGGGGCCTCGCCCGGTGGGCGGGGCACGGGGCGGGGCCATGGCCTAATCCGGGAGGCGGGAGCTGCGGACGGACTTGGAAAGGAAGCGGGGGCGAAGGGGAGAGGCTGGACCAGGCTGAGGTGGGCGGGTCCGGGGGCGGGGTCACTGGATGTGCCTCCTGCCAGTGCGGGCGGAGCCGGGGGCTAAACTGGGAGAGGCAGGGCCGAGCGGAGGTGGGTGGGGCCTGAGAGGAGGGTCCCTGGAGGGGCGGGGTGCACGGCGCGCGGGGGCTGAGCCCAGCCAGTCTGTCAGCGCGCGGGCTCCAGAGCTGCTCTTCTTGCCGGAGCCCGGGACGGGGCGCCCCGCGGGAGGAGGGCGAAGAGCCGCGGCGATGGTTCCGCCGGGACTCCTGGAGTCCGCTGTCCTCGCCGCTGCTGTCTTCGTGGGAGGCGCCGTGAGTTCGCCGCTCGTGGCCCCGGGTGAGTGCCCTGTAGCGGCTGGGGAGCGCAGGAGGAGGCGAGGGATCGGGACTGTAGTCCCGCTGCTCCTCGAGCTGCCCTGGTCCTGGCACAGCCGTGGGATCCCGGCTCTGAACATCTGGCTGTCTGGGGGTGGCCCGGGCCGGGCGCGGCGCGTGGAGATGGCTCCCGTCCCTCCCAGCCTGCTCGGCTCCCGCCTTCCCTCCTCCGAGGACCTGTTACCCCCC